TGGAGCACTGGGTGTTATACGCAAACAATGAATCATGGAACACTACATCAAAAACTAATGATGTAATGTATGGTGATTAACATAACAATAAAAATTTTTAACAAACAAACAAACCAGAAAAGAACATTTGCAATAAGCCATAAAAGAATGTAACTCTAAACTATAGTCTTTCTGATGAGATTTTACTTTTAATATTTGAACTATCCCAACCAAAAAAAGTCTACTACTGAGTGAATAAGCAGTGAAGAAGCAGTTTCTGGGTTGGAATCCCAGTTATTCCTTTTTTAAAAAACTGAGATATAATTCACATACCATAAAACTGACCCCTCTACAGAGCAAAATGTAGTAGTTTTGAGTATATTCATAAAGCTATGCAACCATTACCCTAATTCCAAAACACTGTCGTTACTCAAAAAAAAAAAAAAAAAATCCCATATCCATTAGCAGTCAATCCCTATAACCCTGTTCCTGGCAACCATTAATCTACTTTCTACCTCCATGGATATGCCTGTTTTCCAGTCCACATTTTACCACCTATGTAACTTGTAGTTTCATTAATCTTTCTGTGCCCCGATTTCATCTATAAAATAAGTATAAAAATAATTCCTATATCAAGGAATGGTTAAGACATATAAAGTGGTTAATATGACTGGATATACTTAGTGAACATAAACAATTCTTAAAAAGCATTTTAGAAGGCAGTCCTCTTTGTAACAATCTAAGATTTCACTGGAAGAGTGAAGATAATTCTACATGAATCTAGAATTTAGGTATTCCCTAACTGAAAACAAGTGCTGGGTCTATAAAACAAGACCAACAAATTTAAAGGTGTGAAGTCATATAGTATATATGTTTTCTGCCCTCGGTGAAAATGAACAAGAAATTTAACTAAAAGATATCTAGAAAGTCCCAAAATGTTTGGAAATAAAGTAATATACTTATAACCTAAGGGTTCAAAAAGAAATCAAGGAAATTTAAAAATGACCTGACCGAATGATAATGAAAATATAATAACATATGGTATGCAATATTCATAATAACCAAAAAGTACATCATCTGATGAATGAAACAAAATGTAGTATATCCATACAATGGAATATTACTCAGCCATAAAAAGGAACTAAGTACTGATACATGTCACAACAAGGACGAATCTTGAAAATACTATACTAAGTGAAAGAAGCCAGTCACAAAAGACCACATAAGATAGGATTCCATTTATATGAAGTGTCTAGAATAGGCAATTACACTGAGACAGAGATCAGTGGTTGCTTAAGGATAAGGGAGAGTAGGGGAATTGGGTGGTGATGGCTAAGGGATACGGAGTTTGTTTTAGAGGTGATGAAAATGTTCTAAAATTGATTGTGGTGATGGTTACACAACTCTGTGAATATACTTAATGCCACTGAAAGATATATTTAGAAACAGTTAAAATGGTAAATTTTGTTATGTCCAGTACTACTTTATCTATGGTTTCACTTTCTGCCGTTTCAGTTACCGGTCAACTGCGTATCGGAAGCAGATGATCCTCCTGACATATCATCAGGAGGTCAATAGTAGCTTAATGCTCCCTTACAATGACTGCATCATTCACCTCACTTCATTTCACCATAAAATGCATTTTATCATCTCACATCATCACAGAAAGGGTTAGTACAGTACAATAAGGTATTCTGAGAGAGAGATCACATTCATGTAACTTTTATTAGAATATATTGTTATAATTGTTCTATTTTATTATTAGCTATTGTTGTTAATCTTTTACTGTCTCTACTTTATAAATTAAACCTTATCATAGGTATGTATGTATAGGAAAAAACATGTAGTATATATAGGGTTTGGTACTACCTGGGGTTTTAGGCATCCACTGAGGGTATGTATACCCCGTGGATAAGAGGGGACTAGCATATATTTTGCCATATTAAAAAACCCTCTCACTAGCAAAAAAAAAAAATTTATAGGGGATTAAAAAAAAATTAATACTGGAACACCAAAAATAAAAGGAATGCTTAAAAAAGGGCTGATTATTAAAGGTTAAAGAAACTAATTATTGGGCCTCTAGAAGACCAAAATATACTAATTTAGGACAGAATTTCTAGAAGTGATAAAGTAATTCCTAACATAATATACTCTTCAAGAATCTTAGGATTCAGGGGTGCCTGAGTGGCTCAGTCGGTTGGGTGTCTGCGTTTGGCTCAGGTCATGATCTTGGGGACCTGGGATCAAGTCCCACATTGGGCTCCCTGCTCAGTAGGGAGCCTGCTCCTCCCTCTCCCTCTGCCTGCTGCTCCCCCTGCTTGTACTCTCTCTCTCTGACAAATAAATAAAATCTTTAAAAAAAAAAAATACCTAGGTTTCAAAGAAGTAGGACTGATGTCTGCTAAAAGGAGAAGTCTCTAGTCTATAACCTATATATAAAAATGTATGAACTGCTTTAAAATTCTTAGCCAGTTATATTGGTCAGATAATATTGAAACAAACCAACTAAATATTTATATTTTTCTAACTTTTTCCCACAAAAATAAGCTACTACAAAAGATTAATGTGCTATGGTAATAACTGTAACTTAAATCAGATGCTATGATTTTAGTAACAGAGCTAACAAAAAAACCCTATCTGTAGTTACAGTAACTACATAACTTCGTTATGGTAACCAAGACAGCTAAAAAAGGTACTTAGGGACCACAGCAGAAAAGCTCAGTTGCAAGCAAAATCCAATGCAATATCATATCTAAGACATCTCACATAGGTGGTGCAATTCTACAGCAAAACAGAAAATTCGGACTGGCTCAGTTTGTAAAGCATGCAACTGGATCTCAGGTTGGGGAGTTCAAGCCCCACGTTGGGGGGGGAGTTTATTTAAAAACACACACACACACCAGAAAATCAATGAATCTTCACACACACACACCAGAAAATCAATGAACCTTCTTCACACACACACACACACCAGAAAATCAACGAACCTTCTCACACACACACACAACCAGAAATCAGTGAACCTTCACACACACACACACACACAACCAGAAAATCAATGAACCTTCACACACACACACACACCCCCAGAAAATCAATGAACCTTCA